GCTCGGGAGAAGCCCCAGCACCAGCGCCTGACTGTGCTGGTGGGAGAAATCCCCCCGGAGAGCTCATCCCCTGCTTCCCACCGGGATGACAGCTCACTGCCATCGGGCACAGCTCAGGCTGGGAGGGCAGAATGGGCTCATTTATTTTTATCTTTTTTTCCCCAGCCTGGAAAAGCCTCTCCACCCACTCCAGCTCATACATCCATGGGGCTGCAGGAACCTTCTCAAGGTTTTGCTTCCCTATCTTCCAGTCTCTAGGTGAGCAGGGAAAGCTGCTGGCACCATTCCTGCCCCAGTTCCAGTGCCTCTGTTTCCCCATCCGGTAGGGAGTGGAGATTTCTCCATCAGAGTGTGGGACGGAGGTTACTTCAGGTTATGCTTTGAGGGCAGTGAATAGCAGCTGCAGGGTGTTATTATTAATATTAATTAATAGCCAGGCTCAGGCAGAGCTCAGGTGGCAGGGAAGGACAGGGGGGATGTGAAGGAGTTCTGAGTCATAGGGCAGGAGCAGGAGGTGACCAAGCTCTGTGCTGAGCCCTGACATGCTCACTGCACCCCAGGGCTGTGACAACCACGGGCTGAGGCTGCCCCAGCTCATCTTCCCTGTGGCTGGATGATGCCAGACACAAACCCTCCTCATCCTCACACTGCTGCTGCCTGTGGAAATGGGCTCCAGGGTGGGAGAGCAGCAGAGGTGGCCACGGGGCAGAGCTGAGCACTGTGCTGCTTGTCACACCTCAGGCCTCCATGGCCACAGCTGCTTGAAAGCCAAGCCAGGCTGGCAGGTCTTCTCTGTGATCTTGTTAATTAAGAAATACATTTAATTAGCAGCACCCCAGCTGTGACTCAGCTAATCATCATGATCGAAACAAGAGCTGGACTCCAACGCCAGAGCAGGGAACCACCAAACCCCTCCCCACCTACCACGAGCCCCTGACTCTGCCATGGGACCCACCAGGCACATCCTCATCTCCCCCTGGAGTCTTGGGGTGAATTTCCCCCTGGGCTGGAGGCAGGTTGAGGCTGAG